TAATCCGCAGCCTCAGTTTTTCTTTTATTGTTAAAAGCTCCCAGAACTACCCTGTTCTGTTCATTTTAGAATTCTCACATATCCCTTTTATAATTTTCTTTCCCCTTGTTGCTGCCAGACTGCCAGAGTAATTTCTCAGTGCCAACCTCTGTCCCTATCCTGCCACTTCCGTTTTGCTACTTACCTGTAATTCACTGGACATCAAGTTCAACTTGTTATAATAGTGTTTAAAGTACGAGTTAACACCTCCAAGAGAGAACCTGCATGGCTTTCCCATGAGCTACGAACAGGATCTGCACTGTTTTCCATGCAATGTCTATCTTGGCTGCTCAGATCACTTTTCACACTCTTTCAGATTCTCAATCAATGAGAGACGTGACTTAGGAAAAGGGAAGGGCTGAGCTTCGGACACAGATATTGGAAGCACAGCGAGAGAGATGACAGGTGCCAGGGAATCATGGACAAGAATTTGGAAAGGGGAAGCATCCAAGAAGACACAAAGCCTGAGTGGACAGAGGCAGGTCAATGAGCCAAGAGCGGGAAGTCAGGTCAGACGCACCTACAGGCAGAAACGCCAGGATGGGCTTCAGATACAGGCGATGAAGACCACTGCCTGCAGAACATCATGAGAAGACCGGTGTCCAGTGGGCATCGAGCGTGGAGCAGAGGGAGGCATGAAGTGGGACTGGGCAGAAAAGCTGAGGTCACAGCACTGTGTAGCCACCTGCACAGGCAGAGGAGCTCAGGTCCGGGTCCAGGGGCCACGTGCTGTTTTTACACCAGGAGAGCAAATGCCAGGTCTGTGCTTTAGATCTGCCATTCTCGTGTCTATGTCAATGGAGAGATACTGATGAAGAAAGCATTGAAATAGACCAAGCGAAAGACTGGTAAAAGGACCTACGATAGGGTGGTAATATTAGTCATGATTTTTAAATACTTAAAAAAAAATACAACACTATAAGATAATTGATAATAGAAAAAAAAATTTTACGAACTTGGAAAAAGAAAAGGCTTTGGTGAGAAAAACCATGGAGGCAAGTATTTTCTGGAATAGTTACTTAAAAGGAAAGAAATGGATCCATCTTGGTATTCCCTGAAGGCATGGGACATGTAGCATACTCAAAAAATGCTTATTAAATAGAATCCAAAAAATCATAACATGATTTCTTCCTGCTTCAACCCCTCCAACATTGAATTCTTTAGCATCACACACTAATGTTCACATGCTATTTCTGATAGCAGCTGTATATATAAGTCACAGTAAACAACAAAAATATAAAAGCTATTATGGACAATTTTCTTTCATTTACTTTTAACAGCAGGTAAAATCAGCCAGCATTACAGAAAATAATATCAAGAAAAGATAAAGTATAAAAATAGCTAATCATAAAAAAAATCCCATAAAGTTAAATTCACTTGACTTTTTTTTCTTGCCCCCCCCAAAGGTAGTATTTGAAAATGGGGTTTAGAAACATCCTGAATGTAACAGCAAGTAAGAACTCAAAAAGCGGTATCTTTTTAACCATTAAGTGACTGGACCCCGAAGAGAAGGTACAGTGAAATGAAGCTTTAGTGATATAACAATACTTTTTAATGATATAAAGTAGTTTCTTATAAACTTTCTGCAAAGTATTAGGGAGGCAAGGAGATGATGAAAGGTAGACTTTAAAATGGACATGGTGAGAAAAGTGAACTTGTTTTTCTCCCAAGCTTAAAAAAACAAACAACCTTTACTACTGCCTTCTTTCTTGCCATATGAAGGCGAAGTGTTCTGCCTGAGTTTCCAGGTCCTCTGTAGTCTGAACCATACAGCATAGGCATGCTCCCCACCCCCACCCCGGGTCTGGGCACCATCTGATCACCAGGCCAGGCTGCCCACCCCCCAACACACACTGCTCTGCTCCTCACTGCTGAGTTGCTCTTCTAAGGATCCTGTCCCCCGGCGTGGCCATCCCTCTTCCCCACACCTGATCACTCCTTACCCAAACCCTGTAGGCTAGCTCAGGAGTCACCCTTTCCACTCTGACCCTCCAAGTTGTCCTCTCTTGGAATGCCCACACCACTTAGAACCTTCGAGACACAACTGAGAACCTAAGTATGTATACTTTATTAAATATATTTGTTTTCTCACCCTTTGTGCTAGTTTTGATCTCCAACTAAATTGAAACTTTGTCAGGAATATGTGTCTTACACTTTATCCATTCCCAACAATGCTCAGCCCATGCATCCATTCACTCAATGACTATGGCGTACGCACCTGCTATATGCCAGACAGTATTCTAGATACTACAAAATACGGCACTAAAAAACAAAACAAAACCAAAAAAGCTCTGCTGACATTCCACAGGGAGTGGAATGAGAGGGAGAGTTCTCGGAGACCAGGTCAGGGACGTAACAAGGAGCCAGCTGGTTTAGAGCCTGTGAGCCATGATAAGGAATCCGACTCCCCTGAGTGAGAGGAGGAGCCCTCGGAGGTTTGCAGCAGCGAAGAGACGTGCTAGGACTTATATTTTCAAATGCTCATTATGGCTACCGTGTTGGAAATCTCTAACAAGGAAGCAAAGGCAGAGCAGGGAGATGCATTGAATGAATCTGCAATAATCCAAGTGAGAGGTGGTGGGGGATTAGACCAGGAGGGGATAGTGGAAGTGACAAAGGATCAGATTCTGGGTACGTTTTGAATGTAGCAATGACAGGATTTCCTAATGTAATGGATTTAGGTGACAAAAAACAAAGGAGTCAATAGTGGCCCAAAAGATTTTGGCTTGAGCAACCCAGAGGATAGAGTTGCATTAGGCAAGATGCAGAGACTGCAGGAAGAATAGATTCAGGTGGCAGGGGAGGGCAGGAGTTTGTTGATAGATATAGGAAAGGAACTCCATAAATGTTGATCACTTATTCCAGAAAAGTTGGGGTTTATTTGTGTTTCATCTTAAAAACCAATGATCCAATTACCATCTCTACTATTCGTAATATTAGTGTCTACAGTTTATACTTAATGAACTCAAGATAGTGAGACAAAGTCAGTTCTGATGAGTTCAACCCTTCCAAAGAACACTCTACAATTTGGGTTTATTTTCTTTGTTTTTAAATGTGGTGGGGGGGGAGGCGGAAGAAAAGAGGAGAATCATTGTCAACCATCTAGCTCATAAAAATGTTTCTGTAACGGACTATTATGCAAAGTCAGGAGAATAAATAAAATAATTCCTTTATACCACTGATTTATACAGGCAGTCACACATTCTTCATCAAAGTTTTATTGAGTGTCTGATATATGCAGGCATTGTATAGGGTACACAATTATTAAAACTGGATTCCTCAACTCAGGGCAAGTAAGGGAATTTTAACATCTACAAACAAATCAATATAAATGAAAAGAATTCAAATGATAGAAGAAGAGAATGTAGCACAGCCATGACGAAAGAATTCCAAGATCATTCAAGGAAGTAGATAATATATACCGGTCATAGAACTATGAAAATAGTAGTGAAAAAAATAGGTTGAAAAATCAGGAGGGCTTTTTTTTTACGAAGATTCTTAAGCATCATGCTAGAGCCAAGAAGTTTTTTCAGTATGCAATGAAAAGTCAGGGAAGGAACATAAATACAATGTGATGGTAAGATTTACTCATCAGTACTCAAGTGGAGGAAAAAGAAAATAGGCCAATACTATGTATTGCACACAGAGGACGGAACAATGTACTGGGACAAGTGCGACCAAAGTAGCAATTGATTCTGCTAAAAGTATTCCAAGATTATATGCAAAAGGCTGGGAATCTGGAATTAATGGTAGTGTGTGTGTGTGCACACAGGTGGGTATGTTCTGTGTGTATGTATGTGTGTATGTATAAATAATACGTATATAATACTCAGAAGGAATAAGTATTCAAAGATAGAAATAACAATTATGAGTGATTTGCAGAGACTGTGGGGCTTTGATGAAAAGTAGGAAACTCAACAATGACTTAGGTTCCTTAGTGATACTATCAGCAGAAAATAAAAACTAATGCTAGAAAAGGATAAGCATGCTCTGCATGTGTGTGTTCATATGTGTGCAGGTTGTATGCATACATTAAAACTAGGTTCAAAGAGTCAAGAAAATCATGGTCTTGATGAAAAATTTATTCTAACTCTAGAAGAGTTTCCTTGAGAAAGTCTCAGTAGGAAAATGGCTACCTGTCCAAACGTCTGATCCACTTCCAGCAACAAACAAAGTATTTCTAACTGTGCTTCCCTTACAAGTAATAATGCTCATGATTTATACCACTGGACATAGGCAATCTTTCAGGTTTGCTTTTACTATGTAAAGGAAGTGAATGATACATTGAATGGCATGTTTATTTTTTAAAATGTATCAAAATGTTTTTATTCCCAACAGTGAAAAATCATAATAAAGGTATATATTGGACCCCAATTCATTACAAATTTTATATCAAGTTTACTATGTGATATATTGCCATTTGCTAGTAAGGCAATTACTGTTTCAATTTTAAGCCAAAGCACATAAATGTTATAGGTTGTTACTTTTAAATTAAACAAATGCTGCTGTCTGCTTGTAAAAGAAAGGCACTTCGGTGTCTCATTTTCAAAAGTAATCTTACGTTATAGATATTGAAATATTTTATATATTTACTATGATATTTTAATAACTTTCTTCTACTTGCAATTATTTATCATGTAATTTGTTTAAATAGAAGAGATACAAATTTTTATTTCTTAGAGAAGTTTTTTATAGTTACAGTATACTTTTTAGATAAATCCATTTTTCTGCAGTTAATTTCTTTCAAAAATAATGATATGGAAGTATACAGCAATTTCATTTTCTTAATTTAAGAATCTAGATATTTGTTAAATAATTGACACATTTGATTAAAGTAACATTTAGAAGAAACGTTTTAAATAGTAGGTACTGAAATGCTGTAAGGAAATTTCCTACTTGATTCTGGGTTTTTGTTCCGCTCACATGTGTTTTTTATGATGTATTGAAGAAACTAGTCTCACCTGTTTTTGATTGTAGGTTTCTTCTTGGTTCCTCAGGGGCCTCAATTGGCTGATCAGCCAGGAAAACTCGAGCCTGGTCGACAGCATTCAGGACAGAATATTCTTTCTCCTTTAACTCCCGTCTCAGCGCCTTTGCAAAGAGAAGCAACAGTTGAATTGGTAACTTCATGTGTTCACCAAATAATGGAACATCTTCAGTTAGACCACTTCTGACCACACTGTCAAAGGAATGACTAACAATCAGCATTTAAGCTAAGTGAGAAGTGAAAATATATGAAAAATATGAATAAAAGCAAAAAGATGACTCCTGTAGAACTTAAATATGCAAAACAAACAAAAAACACTTTAAAATATTCACCTAAGGGAAATTGTTACAGTGTATTTGAACTTACAGGAAATGTACTTTTACGCTTTTCACTAATATCAGATTGCTAAAATATAATAGCCTGTTCTAAGATACTTTTTTCTTGTAAGAATGACTGACAAAAACATTACATCCAAAAGTACAGAAGAAGGTAATTTCACAAGGAGTAATGAGATCCTCAGAAGTGTTTTACATTCTTTAGAATACACTGAGAAAAAAAAAATAAGAGATAGAAACAAATTAAAGTACCTACATGAAATTAAAACTAAACCAAAGACAGCACATATAAAACAGTCTCCAATTATCTTAAAATATGTTCCATCTCTCATGCTGAGGCAACTACTATTTTTCCTTTGTGAGGTTTTTCATGCAAATCTATGATTCTCAGAATAGTTTCTCTTTAGTACTTTCATTCTTTTAAGTGAGGCTAAACTTTCGCCCCTGCATCTATAAAAACAACAAACTTCTTTTAGTGACTACTGCAAGATAAGAGTAAATGGAGATTTTTCCCATGTGCTATTTTAGCACTGTTGCTAAATCAATATTGTTAATATTGTTATCCTCTTAAAATTATACATATAAACACAGTTCTAATATTTTGCTTTTGGTGCAGTTCACTGGAAACATATTATGAAAACTCTGTTATTTTCTAAATACTGCATTCTTAATAGTATTTTAGAATCAATAACATCTTTCCTTCTGAATATAACTAATTTTTTAGTAGTATTTAACTATGTTGGGATGACAGGGTATTCTCAGGCTAAATCCTTATCTTACACAGTTGATAAAAATTAAAAATAAAAATATCTAGAAGTACCAGAGTAATCATCTTATGTAATTACATGGACTAAATACCAAAAACACACTGGCAGTGAGGTGGGGAGAGATGAGAAGAGCTGGCAAGGAGTAGTGAGAGATAGAGTGAAAAAATGCTAATTTTTGTGTAAACACTGTAAATTTTTTTTTGATTTTTAAACTATGTACAATTATTACTTCAATTAAAAAAACTGAATAAAAGAATAAAAGGTAACCAAAAATCCCACCAATCTGCAATTCAGATACAGTGATGAAATACAGTATATGGGATGAAATAAAACTTTCTTTAAAATCTACAGATACATTTATTCAACCTTCCTAGTATCTATACAACCAAAAACTGTGAAGCAAGCCCAAGTCAATAAAATTCCCACAGCAATTAACACCAATGAGCATTAAATGACATGTTAGGAGGGAAAGGACAAACCCCCCATCATTTCTTATTTAAGAAGTGCAGCTTGTTCCTAACGCAAAGAAATGATAAATGCTTGAGGTGATGGATACCCCAGTTACCCTGATATGATCATACACATTGCATGCCTGTATCAAAACAACACATGTACCCCATAAATATATACAATTATCATGTACCCATAATAATTAAAAATTTAAAAACTTTAAAAATTAAAAGTGAAAAAAGAAAGAGAAAAAAGAAATTCAGTTTGTGAAGAAGTTCCAGGGTACAAAATTCCAGGAAATAAAAAAGATCATCTTCTGACATTTATAGTTTCTGATATGTGGAAATAAAAGAGACACAAGAGAAATGGAAAAACATACATTTTTAATACAGAAATATTTATACACATTTACAGGTCTTGAGCCAACTAACTTAGGTTATTGTGTTATTAGAGCAACTAGCTCTAGAGGAATAAAAATAACCCTAGTATTTATTTCCAAAACCACCTGGAAATACAAAATAATGATATGAAAAATCATGTTGCTTAAAAAACAGAAGTGAAAATTAGTGGTTAATACAGCAAAATGATTTTTTAAAATTTTAGTGGTCAAGAGTATTTTCCCCCCGAACCCAAATCTAGCCAGTAAATGTGGGAGTGGTAAAGATTCTGAAATTGCTGGGCAAGAACTGTGCTAGATTTCTTCTTTGGGGAAGGGACGTCCCAGGAATATTAGCTATTTAATGAGAGCTGTGGAAGAGAAGGTAAAGGGGCTAGAACACCTTTTCAGTCCAGTTTGACAAACAGGAGGACGAATTCACAGACAGTACTTAGAGACTTAGCACAAAAGAGAAACGCGAACACATCACTAGGTAATAATGTGGAAGGAAACGAAAAACTAAAGAGGCAACACAAAGGAATGTGACTCAGAGACGGAAGAGTGGAGGCAGTACTGGTCCTGCAGACATACGAAACCATTAAGGGGCGTGTAGTTCACAGTGGGTGAATCCAGATCTTATGCTATAAAGAGGAAATACCATGATCCATACAACTTACGTGTACAGCAATTCCCGACTGGCAGTTCTGGACTATTATTAATAATAGTCCACAAAATGTGCATGATTGAGTAGGAGTTGGGGAGGGAAGAGGGCAAAAGAGAGATTTATCTTGGAACTATTTTTAGAATTTCCAAAATCCCAATGGAAATACACAGTTGTTTACAGAAAGGATACTTGAAGAAAAAAAAAATGAACCCGTCAATTTCCTCTATGGCTGGAATTTTATCAATTTAACACGATGCTCTCACAATAATTTATTTGGCTGGCTGTTAACTCTGCCCAGAAAGTTCTTTCCCCAGGTAGCCACTTTGCAGATTCCTTCACTGGCTTTAAGGCATTCCAAGAAGTGCGGCCCACGCACCTACCCTATCTAATGGGGCATTCCTCCTTCCTATCCCCTGCATTTCCCATTCCTGTTCCTCTGCTGAACTATCACCTTCTACCGTGCAAGGCAGGTAATCAGTTATTAGTTTATTACTTAATCTCTGTCTCTCTCAGATAAAATATAAGCCCCACGAGACCAGGGACTTTCTCCGGATTTTTCACTGTGGTAAACAAAGGACCCAGGTCAATGCTGTGCCTGGACCTAGTAGAGCCTCCGAGGGCTCTGAAATGCTTCCTGGCGGAGGTGGTGCCTAAACTGAGTCCAGCAGAGAGAGAAAGGTACTCCCACAAGAGGAAACCAAACACTAGCAGAAGAATGACAGAGTGTCACAGTTGTGCCTTGGGAAAACTACAAGCACTTCAGTGCCCAGAGAGTGGTCTCGGCTGAGGCCCAGGGTGTAGACAGAGATCAGTCCAGAAAGACCGCTGTATGGGCTCTGCTGCCTCTGAGACTCAACCCAGTCATGGGTGACAGGAAGCCACAAAGAGCTGGACAAGTTGCGGGAGAGGAAAGGGGACTGTCAGATTTATATTTTTGTTTTTTATAATATCATTGTCAAGTCTCCTAGATTGATAAAAAACAAGTCTATGTCTATGAAGCCCCACAGGTCTAGAGAATCTGTTTTCCCTCCTGACCACATTAAACTCCAGCGCTTCATAAAAATATCCTCTCTGCACTGGGTGCTGGCTGGGGACTGTCTCGTGCGCCTCTTTGATATGCCAGGGAAGGGAAGTACGGAAGGCAAGTGTGGGCAAGTGAGAACCGCGCCACGTAAACACAAACACGGGGCTCCGGCCCTAATGCCAACTCCGCGTCTAAATGTTCCGGGGAGCAGCACACGTGCAATAATGTCTGCTCATGCCTTTTTTTGCAAATTTAATGTTGTTGTTCAATTTGTCCTATTTCAATTATATTTAATTGCATGTCAGAAATGGATTTAACTTTCAACAGCATTACACATATAATCATTTCACCACCCTTTACCTCTCAATTAGACATAAAAGAAACCTGCATTTTCCAGCCACCTGGTGAACATTAATGATAAGGTAATTAGACTCCAATGTGTTGTTTTGTATACAGACCTACAAAGTGGCATTCAGCTTTAGGTTCCAATATCACATGACTTGTATGTATATGTATGTATCTACGGGCCACCTTAAATGAGTATAAGATAATCTAATTGAAATGTTTCTATTTTAATGACTTTATATTTTCACCCAAAACAATTCTGTTTCCAGACAATAACAAATATTGGTGAGGCTGTCAAGAAACTGGAACCCTCATGCGCTGTTGGTGGAATGATGAAATGATAACATTTTGCAGAGCAAAATATAAAAAAGCCCCCAAATCTGTTCATCCTAAATTGAAATAATTAATGGATTCCAGTTAGTTCTGGATTATTTTAATATCTGCTTGGCAAACTACTGTTAATAATTTTTCGATGTAAAGTTAGTTTTCTTCTATCATCTATCAGTTAGTCTGTGCTAAGCATATCAGTCATCTGTTAGTTTTTATTTTATGGATAGCAAATATCTTTTCCTCTCCCTAGACAGACAAGGAACTGATCTCACTGGAAGGGATGGTGTGGGTTCTCTCCATCTTCTCCCATTTTTTCACATCCTAACCCATGAAGTAGCTCTATAGTGCATGGTTTCAAAACCACTGCTAGTCATTAGAATTGAACGGTATATCCATTATCACTATTGCACATCAAACCCAACTAAAACGTAGTGGCTTAAAAAAACAACAATTTATTTTTCATGATTCTGTGGGTTGGCAATTTGACCAGTTCTGCTAGTACCACCTGGGATTACTTGTGAGGCCAAAGTCACCCGCAGCTTGAATGGGACCAGAGGTCCATGGTGGCCTCACATGACTGGAAATCATCACTGCCTATTGGCTGGGGCACCCCTGTTTCCCTGAATGTGGTCACTAGTTGCTGTCCAACATAGTAACCACTAGTCACAGGTGGTTATTTGGCACTTGAACCCTGGCTAGTACAACCGCAGAGCTGAATTTTATATTTTATCTAATTGTAAGTGATTTAAATTTAAATACAAACTGGTACGTGTGGCTAAGGGTTACCATCTTAGCGCAGTTCTAGAGTTTGCA